TAACTCGCGTAATGCATTAGGAAACGGTGACATAAATCTTAATGAGTATATGAAATAAGTTGTTTACAAAAGAATGCGAGATAAGTTCACGAGGACAGAAAGTATAGTTTACGGAAATGCCACAAACACGAAAATGTTATGTCGATGGAGTGCAACCCATCGTTGCTTGCCGCTTCTTCTCTGCATGCATGAGGTCACTCTCCTGCACTTCGGCAACTGCCTTCATGATTAGATCGCGCCATGCACGCCGATCAACCGCCTTCGATTCCTATGACCTGCAATCAAGATTAGAACGTGAGAAGCTCACTTTGATCATATCCTGGTAACGTAACTTTGGTTTCCCCACATGTCGCTTCCCAGTACTCAGCTGACCGCATAAGAGTTGCTTCGATATCCGCGTCGAATCCATCCGGCTCACATGACCAATCCACCTCAGGTGTCTCAGCAAAAGGATGCAGTCCACTGCATACATTCCACTTTGTCGCAACACTTCCGTGTCAGCAACTCTGTCGCCCCAACCGATGCACAAATCCGTCGCAAACACTGCTGATGGAACCGCTCGAGATATCGCACATCCCGCCGGTACATCGTCCACGTTTCACTGCGGTATAGAAGAACGGACAGCACCATGGAATTGTACAAAATCAGCTTCGTGCCAATGATAAGCTGATGGTTGTTCCACACTCGGTACTCAAGCTTCCCGAATACCACCACTCTCTTCGAGACTCGGATACGCAGCTCACTGTATATCTGCTGGTCAGTCGACATCACACTCCCAAGGTAGCCGAAGCGGGAGGTGGTTTCCAATACTTCAGCACCAATGCAGATTCACGGCAATATTGAAGATTGCACCTCCGGTGAGGGCTGAAAGAGACAGACAGTTTTGCTTGTGTTGATGGTGAGCCCGAATTTGGCCACTGTCGAAGTCAGAGCACTAGTCATGTTCTGCAACTCATCTGCGCTGTGTGCAAACAACGCACAGTCGTCAGCACACAGCAACATACGGATAGTTGTCTCACAGACTAGAGTTCTAGCACCGAAACGACGGATGTTCAGCAACCCACCACCAATACGGTGCTCCACACAAACACCGTAAGCACAAGCGGCATCAAAAGCACAAGATAACATCGCATGAAGATATATGTTAAACAGGGCAGGAGCTAAGACACAGCCTTGCTTCACACCAGAGACAACTGCAAAGTCATCCGAGGTCTCTCCACTCAGCTGCACCCTCGCTCGCATACCACTGTGCAGACATTCAATTAAACTTACAAACTTACGCGGGCAACCAAACTTACCCAACACCAGCCACAATGCCTCGCGGTTCACCGTATCCAATGCCTTGGTGAAATCGACAAAAAGCGAATACAATGTCTGGTGTCGTTCTCTGCGTTTCTCCTGCAACTGACGAGCCGCAAACACCATATCTATAGTGCTGCGACCCGAACGGAATCCACACTGCTCTTCTGCCACGTTAGGTTCCACAACCTGACTGAGGAGGCGGTTGAGCAGTTGTTAAGCAGTTGTTGCCACTATAATTCGTGCAACATTGCTTGCTAACTTTGCTCTTTTGCTGACCGTATCAGTGTAGGATGGATCACTCGTGTCATCAGGATAACACAATTTCGGACCGTGCGTGCTTATAGAAATGGCGAACTTTCCACTTCCGAGTCATAGGCGAACAATCATCAGTCGCGCTTTGATGCTTGTTGGTTTACACACTAGCTGGCCTATTAGGCGATCGCATATTACAAATCCGACCTCCTGTTCACATGGTGCTGAAGCAGCGTTGCCCAAGCGGGAAAAGTGTAGCCGGCACTTTCTTCATGCAACTTACCTTGATCAGCGAGCCGGGTTTCACTGAGCGCCACAATATCGATGTGGTAACGCGCCAGTTCCAACTCGACGAGTGCATTGCGTCCCTCCGTGTGTTCGCTGGTATTCCGGTCCAGAAGTGTGCGCACCTTCCAGCACCCCATGCTGAGTGCTTTGCGCGCAGTCATACGGTTGCATTTTTGGGCAATCACACGCGAGGTGGTCGTTGTGCTTCGGAGGTTTGCTTGAGGGACTCCACCCGGAGCCTTTGGCTCAATAATCTGACTCACTAGGCAGTGGGTGGTTTGGAGGTTTGCTTGTGGGACTCCGCCAGGAGCCTTTGACTCAATAGCCTGACCCACAAGGCAGTGGGGAGGAGATCCAGCTCGGGAATGTGATTGCAGAGACAGATTGGGATCTTCTTGACGGCCGTCACACGCAGCCTTGGAGGTACTGGAATGATTCATATATATTTTGCGACCGTAGTAGGATACACCTGCGACCACGGCCAGACGCAGATGGTTTTTGGCGGGTTTGCACCACTTTGAGCAAGGGCTGCCTGGCTTGAGGCGGGCAGTAGCAAACCATTGAACACGCGGTGGTACGCTCCTACCGTCAGAGACAATGCGTGGCGCTTGTGCTCTATGCCAATCGAGCTGTGAGCTTATATCCCGTAGACCTGTTGTCTCCCATGGCTAGGTTTTACGGGAAGAGGGCCACCGACCACTTCCTAACCTCCGAAGAGGATGGACTAGGATACTGGCAGAGCGCCCACACCTGACAGGAGAACGACTCGGGTCCTCAGCCAAAGCCTTCGATTAAATGAACACCCGAAAGGCAGCGGGTCTAGCGCATGGTCAGTTCACTGACTCATGCGGATTGGTGTCCTTGATCTTAGTAGGGAGAAGGACGAAACCAACTCCCACCTAACGGTCGCCACGAGGAGGCGCCCAGAACATGAGCAAATGGTAGGCTGTCACGATTCGTTACATTGTAGTTTTGTCCGTGGTATTATGCCTTGATGAATTGTTCAGCGAGCTTAACCCAATAAATGTGAATGCCTTGTTCCCTAAGCATCTTGCTTAATTAATTTCTGTTGCAGAAGAACGAACGCACACGTGTATCTACTGTGATAAATCGTTTTCACAAGCAAGTTCTCTGCGGGTGCACATCCGTTCTGTGCATTTGAGTAAGTTTTCTGTTGATTCCGAGACTGTAATATTTTTCGTTAACCCATGGAACATTTTGCCTATATGTTGAGTTTAAGTGAAGGCTTTATTCCAGCTTCGTGTTGACTCCATAAATTGCGACAAGAGCGGTGGGGTGCAATCGCACATGTCAGCAGTCGTTGACCAGTCTAATTTTGGGAAATGTTTTGCGATAGCTAGCTAACTGAAGCCTTAAGACGATAGATTCGCGTCGTTCTCTTGATGATTAAACCCTCATCGTCAGTCATAACAGTTGTCGGTAAGGTTTTGGACATGCTGCAATTGAGAATCCATTAACCGTATTCCATTTGCCTTCTTGCTACCGACTACATATAGGCGATTTTTACTTGTTGGCCACATTCCTCTATGGTTTTGATTAATGAACTGATAATTTCCATGCAGTTTCGCACTGTGTGTTGAAAGGGCATGATTCCTTTATTGTGGCTTGACGTTTATGAATGACCTCACTTTTCCTACATGTATGGAAGGGGAAACCGTCCCGGCTAACTAGGGTGAATCAATTATAATGATGATATACAATAAGGGCAGTCGCACCGACTGTACTAACCGCAGGGGTATTATCCTAACACCAGTTGTGACAAAAATGGGTGGCCTCAAACCTCGTTCGTCGCCTCACTGCGGAAGGGGAATCCCGGATTAGTGCAGAGCGAGCAGCTTTCCGCCCAGGACATGGATGTATTGACGATATATTACTTTGCGGTAAGTGCTAGAGTAGCGCCACGCATATCTCAGGCCGACAGTATCTATGTTCTTCGACTTCAAGAGTGCATTCTATTCAGTCGATTGACGCATTCTGTTCGAAATACTTGCTCGAAAGGGTGTTCCTACGAAATATGTGGTGAACATCTTACGTGCTCTGTACTCAAACACGACAGGCCGCGTCAGGGTCTACGGTGATTTATCGGATGTCTTCCTGGCAACAAGTGGCGTTCGTCGAAGTTGTCCAATGTCCCCATTTTTGTTCAATTTCATCGTGGACTCCATCATGGAGTGTTCCCTTGCGGATTCTCACAATGTAATGGCATTGTGGTGCTGCCTGGTGAAAGTCTAGTTAATCTTTCAGAAGTTTTGAATACAAGTCGGTTTTGGTAGGGTTTTGATTGTGGCAAACTTTCGCCCTTGACACAAGAACTTCTTCAGGCCAGGTGAATCGTTACAAATTTGGCTTAGCTTTTTTATGGGAACGTAAGTTGAAGGTTGCAAGACATAACATGAACCATTGGATAATTGTGTTACAGGTCGGTAGGTCAAGTGACCATACTAGTGAAACAACAAGCAGCGAGCGTTTCTCATTGATCCACGTCACCGGTCGTTCACATGTGAGGCATTCCTTTCTTGCAGCTGCTGATTCACGCTCCGACCTGAGTTCGTCCGCCGACACCTTTTCTGACTGACCGGGTTAACACAGCCCTCTACGCATTTGATAACTCCACCCTGTCTGTTCTGTTCCCACAGTTATTAGTCTTAGTAATCTCGATCGCCTCAGCAATCATCCTTTGGCCTGTTGCTGGTAATCCCCTCCTAAGTATCTCGACATTGTCCCAATCAATCGCGTGTTTTGCCTCTAGCGCATGTACGGCCAACGCTGAATCTTTAAGTAGAGCCCTGTATTCAGGCTCATTTCTCGGTGGACGTGAAACGTATCTGTTGTGTTCCGCTATCCTCGTGCGTAGCTCTCTCACTGTTTGACCTATATACACATGTTCACAGTCTTTGCAATTGATTTTATAAACACAATTTGTCGTCCTATCTCTTAGAAGTGGATCCTTCAAACGCACAAGTGCTGAATGGAGCGTTTGACCCTATCAAAAAACCACTCTTATTTTCTCCTTGTTTAGTACTCGTCTGATTGCTTCTGAGGTTTCCTTTTTATAGGGGATTCCCACTGTCCCAATCCACTCCGTTGTGCGTCGCGGAGGTGGATTTAGAGCTCTCTGCAGTTGGCGTTTCACTAACCGCCTCGGATATCCACTGTCTACTAATTTGCTCACCGTCTCCTTACGAGCGGCCTTCCTGTCCTCCTCCTCTGTACACAGAGTCTGGGCTCTGTGAAACAGAGAGGATGCGATAGCGGCATAGACTTGTTTTGGATAACCCGAACTGTAATGAAGCACTCCGTCCGTATCTGTCGGCTTGCGATATATCGTCGTCTTTAGCCGTCCACCGTTCCTGTGAACTAGGCAATCGAGGAATGGCAGTGTGCCACTGCAAGATTCTAGTTCCATAGTAAAGTTTATATTTCCATTAATGGAGTTCAGATGATTTAGAAACGCATCCTTCATATCTCGCTTTATAATCACAAACGTATCATCCACGTAGCGCCACCAAATCTTTGGCGAACTACTGGAGTTTGTCAGCGCCTTTCTCTCAAAGTCTTCCATATACAGATTTGCCAATACGGGGATATTGGTGACCCCATGGCAAGTCCCTGTTCCTGAGAGTACAGTCTCGACTTGAAAGTGAAATATGACATATTAAGGCATACTTTAATTCCATCGATTATCTGATCTACCGTGAGTTTCGTTCGCTGCTCCAGGCTATTGTCCTCAGTAAGACAACGCTGTGCTATACCCAATGCGTCATCCTTGGGCACGTTAGTGAATAGGGAGCTAACGTCGAAACTAACCATTATTTCGTCTGGCGCGATGGCCAGACCTGCTACCTTTCGCGCGAACTCATAAGAGTTCCGTACGAACGTATTTGTTCTCCCTGTTAGAGGTTGCAACAAACCTGCCAAATATCGGGCTAGTTCGTGCGTTGGAGAACCGATACCATCTACAATGGGCCGAACGGGAACTTCGGGCTTATGTATTTTCGGCAGCCCATAGATCCTAGGTGGAATCGTTGATTTCGGATATACGTTATACCATTTACCCGGCCCTAGGTTGTCCTTCACACTTCTCAGGTAGTTTCCTACCTCTGTTTTACACTTATTCATTATGGACGATACGGATTTTTTCTCAATTGCTTCGTAGGGCCCTGCTGCTAAATGCTGTTCCATTTTTTCCACATAATTCGATTTGTTCATTATCACTACGGTCTTGCCTTTATCGGCTTTCGTGATGATGATGGTGGGGTCTTCTCTTAAGGCCTTTAATGCGGTACGCTCCGCTGGTGTAAGATTTGGCTCCCCAGGCTTCTGAAATCTGATGATGTCTACCATCTGTGCACGAATATTCTCAGCTGTTGATACTGGTAGTTTCGTCATCACGGTCTCAACGCTAGTAATAATTTCCTCTGCAGTTAGTTTAGACTTATTTACAGAAAAGTTCAAACCCATTTTTAGTAATATACGTTTCGTCTCACTCAACAACCTATCTGACATATTAACTACATTGTAATAGTTACTGCTAGATTCAGACCTATCTACGAGACTAGTGGTCCTGGTATGCATAGACATCAAATGATTGAACTTACGAACTTGTCTTTCTTTTGCAGCTATCCCTTGCGTTGATTTCACTTCCGAGGCCTTGTTGTAAAGTCTATCATAGTCGGTCTGCGTTATAGCAGTCTGCAGCTCCCAGCTCAGCCGATTAGCATGAAGGCGAATTTCATTCAGGCGTCGAGTTGTCATATAAATCCGTTGTCTTAGGAATGTTTTGCTTGCGCTGAAGGCTGCTTTGGTAGATGTGTAAGAACTGTCCGGTGGTCTAACAACGAGGCTTTTAGGAATAATCCCCCATTTGAGACATCTCAGGTTGAAGATACGAGGATTTTCCCAATTCGCTTTAAGTTAATCTTGATTATGCGGACAAAAGGCATTGCCCATCGTGACCCGGTAGCCAAAGGGGTAGTAGTGTTGGCTGCTATTCCAATGGTCCTGGGTTCAAATCCTGCTGTCTCCACCTGATGAGATGAAAATTACATCGAAACGCGTCGTGGTTGTGCAGTGTTTTCGGGTGGGCAATACCCAATTTCCAATATCCTCTTGCTGTTTAACGATGTTCGGTCATCGCAGTCAACCCCATGCTGAGGCTGATGTTACATTCTGGATGCTTCTTCACCGCACTTGGGCTAAACCAACTTGCACTTAAGCTAGGTCATTTTAAGCTTGCTAAATTTCATTACAGTTTATTTGGTTTGTTCTGCCTACCTGAATTATTAACTGGCCACGTAGCTTACACTAATTGCGCTTACCTTCGGTAATTTTGTTGCGTTTGTAGCATTTTTAAGTAACTTGTGGACATATTTTCCTTATCGTGGATTCGTTGCTAATCAACCTACTTCATATGGTAATTTAGCGAAGAGTTATGCCACCGTATCTGTATGCATTATTGGATTTATCCTATTTCCTCTTGTCGTTTCAAGTGATTGGCTGTTGCATGATATCCCCGGTGTGGCTGCGCTTGATGTGCATGTTGACAAGGTGCCTACCTGTCTATTACCCACTACCTCGTCCATACTGGCTCCAGGAGACAGTTGGTCGTTGCTGGAGGGAACGCGGTGTACCATCCTTGTGGTCGTGTTAGGCTCGAAGAACCGTTCCATGCAGTCAGTGTGGAGCGGACTACGGTCCAGCCACCGCCTTATGTGCGCTTGATTCCCCAAATACAGCGTGCTTGTGTTTGCCTGTGAAGGAGTGTGGGCCGGCTCCGTTGATGTAACGTGGCTCACATCCACATTCCTCCCGGTCTTATTCCTTCGGGTTTACACTGGATATGAGGTGTGTGGTTGGAGCTGTTGGCGTTGCAGCGAGAGCAACCCATGGTCCCTCTGTAGGCGCAGGCGTCCTGTGGCTGGCCACAGTGACAGGCAAATCCGAAACCGCATGTCTCCAATCAGTATGGGTCCATTATTTTGCATGCACTTCGCACCTTCAAAGTGCAGTGTTGTTGCAGGACCACCAGCCACCTGATGATTTCTTGACACTAGATAGCGAGGAACTTTAGGTAGTTGATCACCACACACCTTTGGGAGCGGTGTCAGCAGGGATGGGTGTGTAGCCACTGTATTCAGTTCAGGTATTGTAAATGCCAGAACTGTCTTTTTGAATCTGCGACATTTTTGACGACAGAAAGTGGTTTCTCCCCGTTTGAAAGACCGTGTTTACAAGGCCACGGTGAGAGCCGTCCTACTCTATGGTAGTGAGTCTTGGCCCCTTTCAGTCAGAAGATCTGAGGCGTCTTCAACTCTTTGATCATCGTTGTCTGCAGAACATTGCTGATGTCGTCTGTAGGTGGTTCGCATACCCCATATTCAGTGTAAACCCGAAGGAATACGTCTGGGAATAGTGTAGTGTTAATGCTTGTTTCATCAACCGAGCCGGCCCTCACTCCTTTAACAAATGCAGCAACGTGCGTGCCCATTTATGGATCATGTGAACCATACGTTCACAAATTGGTGCATGGGCCGCAGCCTGTAGCACCGTCACCCAGACCCTTCATCCCGTCTCCAACAGCGATCGTCTGTGTCCTAGAGCTAATATGGACTGTGATATTGTATAGACGGGTAGGCACCTTGTAAACATTAACATCAATCCTAGCCACGCTGGGTATATCGGTCAACAAGCAACTCCTTAAATGCAAAAATCTCAACACACATGCGCTCATACAGCGTTGCGGCACATCAACCTGCTTATTGACCTGTGTTAGTAGATCGAATGGAAGCGGACGCAGCGCACCTACCAATTGCTGCGCTGATTAGTCTTAGATACTCAGTTGACTCGTCATGTTTTTGTTGCTGACCACACGTGGCAACGCTGGTGGCTTACCAGGCCCGCTTGACTTAGGCACTCGCGACCTCATGTGCTACAGCACCATGCACTTAATGTCAGTGGCCTAGAATCCATCGCCGCCTGTCTCTTCCGTACCCGGCGTTTCTCTT